CAAGTTTCCGCATTCTTACACAGATCAAAGTCACAATGTAACTCTTAAGTACAAGTAAACATCCTCTGAATTGTAAGCATGCTTTCAGACTGATCTTTCATTGATTTTTTGTATATGCTCTTTAAAGGACCAAAGAATCAGAAGAAAGCTCCACTGTAACCTAGGCTTATATACTGCAGAATTAATGCAGTTTGATAGCACTTTAACTGCCATGGCTCAATGCTATGGCATACTGGGATTTTTTAATTTGGCGAGGCACCAGTACTCTTTAGTAAAGATGCAAGTTCCATGAAAACTGCAAGTTCCATGATTCTATAGCACTGAGTCATGGAAATTAAAGTAGTGTCAAACTGCATGGCTAGGAAAACCCTGTGGAAGTAATGGGATCACCATAAGCCTACAGGTGACTTGAGCCCCTTCTACACTGCCAAATAATCCACATTTTCTGGATTATCTGAGTCTACATTGTCATATAATCCAGTTCAAACAGATAATCTACATTTTTATGCTAGTGTAGAAGGGACTTTGGAAGGCACACACATAATGTACCAAATAGGTGTGTTGTTTTGTTTACAAATGTTACCTCCAAACTCCAGAGTGTGTGAATAGACATTTTTAGAGACTAGGGCTGACATTTACTTGTTACTTGTTTCAGGTCTTAAGAGTAGCTCTGAGAGAAATAGTGTTCAATACTATTGTGAAGTAAATAGAAGGCACAAGGATTCAGGTATGGAAGATGCACAGATTATAATTTGCCTAGAATAGTATTGAGGAGACTAGGAAGTCCCTTTATCTGCAGACACCGTGGATTATATGAGGCCCTTTCTACACTGCCAGATAATTGAGATTATCAAATCAGATAATCTACATCATCTGCTTTGAACTGGATTATATGAGTCTACACTGTCATATAATCCATTTCAAAGTAGATAATCTGGATTTTATATGGCAGGGTAGGGACCCTTTCACACAGCTGTATAAATTCCACATTGAACTGGATTATATGGCAGTGAGGACTAAGATAATCCAGGTCAAAGCATGTATTGTGGATTATCTGCCTTGATATTCTGGGTTATATGACTGTGTGGAAGGGCCCTTAATGGGGCCTGTGTCTACACTGCCAGATAATCTGGGATAAAAAGATAATCTGGGCTCAGATCCTGGGATATAGGGCAGTGCAAAATTGGGCATAATATTATAGAATCCGAGAGTTAGAAGAGACCACGGACCTTTCCAGACAGACATATACCCCAGAATATCAAGGCGGATAATCCACATTATCGGCTTTGAACTGGATTTTCGTAGGACACTTCCACACAGTTGTTTAACTGTGTGGCAGTGTGGACTCAGATAACCCAGTTCAAAGCAGATATTGTGGATTATCTGCCTTGATATTCTGGCTGTGTGGAAGGGCCCTTCATGGGGCCTGTGTCTATGCTACCATATAATCTGGCATAAGCAGATAATCTGGGATGTGTTTTTTTTCCATATCAGGAGACTTGCAAGTTGCTTCTGGTGTGAGAGAATTGGCTGTCTGAAAGGACACTGCCCAGGGGACGCCTGGATGCTTTATGCGGAGACATGGGAGGCTTCTCTCATGTCCCCGCATGGGGAACCGGAGCTGACAGAGGGAGCTCATTCCCGCTCCCTGATTCGAACCTCCGACCTGTGGTCTTCAGTCCTGTTGGCACAAGGGTTTAACCCACTGCGGGGAGGGGGGGGGGCTCTGATCTGGGATCAGATTCTGGGATATAGGACAGTGTAGAATCAGACACAGGGCCTTTCCACACAGCCCTATATCCCAGAATATCAAGGCAGAAAATCCCACATTATCTGAGTGTGAACTCAGAAAACCCAGTTCAAAGCAGATATTGTGACACATTCTGCATTGATATTCTGGGTTATAGGGCTGTGTGGAAGGGCCCACAGTTATAGAATCAGTTGGAAGCGATCACAGGCCCTTCCACACAGCTATATAACCCAGGATATCAGAGCAGATAATCCACAAAATCTGCTTTGAACTGGATTATCTGAGTCTACAGTGCCATATAACCCAGTTCAAAGCAGATAATGTGGGATTTAACACAGCTGTGCAGAAGGGGCCCACAAGGGCCATCGAGTCCAGCCCCATTCTGCCAAACATGAATATAATCAAAACACTCTGGGCAGATGGCCATCCAGCCTCTGCTTAAAAAAAACCTCCACCACATGCAGCTGTAGAAAACAGAAAGTTAGAGGATAAAAGGGCCATCTCCTTTCCTCCAAACTTCTCTGACAGTTTGTTGTTCATTCGCTCAGTCGTTTCCGATTATTCATGATCTCATGGACCATCCCACGCCACAGCTCCCTGTCGGTCGTCACCACCCCCAGCTCCTTCAAGGTCAAACCAGTCACTTCAAGGATGCCATCCATCCATCTTGGCCTCTTCCTTTTTTGCTTCCATTTTCCCCAGGATCATTGTCTTCTCTAAGCTTGCCTTTCTTCTCATGATGTGGCCAAAGTACTTCATCTTGGCCTCTACTATCCTTCCCTCCAATGAGCAGTTGGGCTTTATCTCCTGAAGTATGGACTGGTTGGATCTTCTGGCGGTCCAAGGCACTCTCAGAACTTTCCTCCAGCACCACAGTTCAAAAGTATCTATCTTCCTTCGCTAAGCCTTCCCTATCATCCAGCTCTCACATCGGTAGATGACTATGGGGAATACCATTGCTTTAACTATGCGGATCTTCGTTGCCAGTGTGATGTCTCTACTCTCCACTATTTTATCAAGATTGGTCATTGCTCTCCTCCCAAGAAGTAAGCCTCTCCTGATTTCCTGGCTGCAGTCTGCATCTGCAGTAATCTTTGCACAGAGAAATACAAAGTCTGGGTTGTTGTAGGTTTTTTCGGGCTATATGGCCATGGTTTAGAGGCATACTCTCCTGACGTTTCGCCTGCATCTATGGCAAGCATCCTCAGAGGTAGTGAGGTCTGTTGGAACTAGGAAAAGGGGTTTATATATCTGTGGAATGACCAGGGTGGGACAAAGGACTCTTGTCTGCTGGAGCTAGGTGTGAATCTAGCTCCAGCAGATTCACACCTAGTTGAGAGGTGATTAGATGTCCTTGTTTGTTTCCTCTCTGTTGTTGTGCTGTTTTAATTTTAGAGGTTTTTAATACAGATTTTGTTCATTTTCATGGTTTCCTCCTTTCTGTTGAAATTGTCCACATGCTTGTGGATTTCAATGGCTTCTATGTATTGTCTGACATGGTGGTTGTGAGAGTGGTCCAGCATTTCTGTGTTCTCAAATAAAATGCTGTGTCCAGGTTGGTTCATCAGGTGCTCTGCTATGGCTGATTTCGTTTCCTGGCGAAACGTCAGGAGAGAATGCCTCTAGACCAGTATTTCACAACCTGGGGGTCGGGACCCCTGAGGGGGCTGTCAGGGGATGTCAGAGGGGTCACCAAAGACCATCAGGAAACACAGTATTTTCTGTTGGTCATGGGGGTTCTGTGTGGGAAGTTTGGGCCAATTCTATCGTTGGTGGGATTGAGAATGCTCTTTGATTGTAGGTGAACTATAAATCCCAGCAAGTACAACTCCCAAATGTCAATGTCCATCTTCCCCAAACTTCACTGGTGTTCTCATTTGGGCATATTGAGCATTCGTGCCAAGTTTGGTCCAGATCTATCATTGTTTGAGTCCACAGTGCTCTGGGTGTAGGTGAGCTACAACTCCAAAACTCTTGGTCAATGCCCACTAAACCCTTCCAGTATTTTTATTGGTCATGGGAGTTCTGTGTGCTAAGTTTGGTTCATTTCCATCGTTGGTGGAGTTCAGAATGCTCTTTGATTGTAGGTGAACTATAAATCCCAACAACAACTCCCAAATGACAAAATCAATCTCCCTCCCAATGCCTCTGGTATTCAAATTTGGACGTATTGGGTATTTCTGCTCAATTTTGTCGAGTGAATGAAAATTCATCCTACATACTCAGTTCTTGTGGGTTTTTTCGGGCTATATGGCCATGTTCTAGAGGCATTTCTCCTGACGTTTCGCCTGCATCTATGGCAAGCATCCTCAGAGGTGAGGTCATAGATGCAGGCGAAAGGTCAGGAGAAATGCCTCTAGAACATGGCCATATAGCCCGAAAAAACCCACAAGAACTGAGTGATTCCAGCCATGAAAGCCTTCGACAATACATCATCCTACATATTCGATACTTACATTATGATCCATAACAGTAGCAAAATTACAGTTATGAAGTAGCAACAAAAATAATTTTATGTTTGGGGGTCATCACAACATGAGGAACTGCATTAAGGGGTCCCCACATTAGGAAGGTCGGGAACCACTGCTCTAGACCAAGGCCATATAGCCCGGAAAAAACCTACAACAACCCAGTGATTCCGGTCATGAAAGTGTTCGACAAAACAAAGTCTGTCACTGCCTCCACATCTTCTCCCTCTATTCCCCAGTTACCAATCATTCTTGTTGTCGTAATCTTGGTTTTATTATATTTAACTGCAACCCAGCTTTTGCCCTTTCTTCTTTCACCTTGATTAGAAGGCTCGTCAGCTCCTCCTCGCTTTAGGCCATCAAAGTGGTATCATCTGCATATCTAAGATTGCTAATGTTTCTTCCAGCAATTTTTACCCCAGCCTGACAGTTTAGCAAAGATGAAAACCAAATGCCAATGCAACCAAAACAAAGCAAGGCGCAGCTGCCTTAGAAGGTGAAAGAGGTCGAGCGGTAGGGCTCCTCCTGCATTCCTCCGCCTCGCCGAGGAATTTGGGAGGCGCATCAACCCAAGGTCCCCAAAACAAGCCTGGAGTGTTCTGAGATGCGGGCGGAGGAGGGGAGAGGAAATGGAAGCCAGGCATCCCCAAGAGGAAGCCAACACACACACCAAGCGGAGGGGGAGGCCATCCTGTAAGGGGGGGGGGGTATGCCCCCTTCCCCACTTCCTCCACAGCCCCCCCCCCCCCCAAAGCCCATGCTCCAAGGAGGAGGCTGCTTACCTGGAGGGCGCGCCATCCAAGGCTTTCCTTGTCCTGCTCCCGGCTCGGGACCTTCTCCAGGCCCCGGGGGGAGAGGGTCTCCCTCTTGGGACATCGGCCAGCCCTCTCCTTCCTTCCTGCCTTCCTTCCTTAATCCCAGGAGTTAGGAGGACACTTCCCGACCAGACCTGGAGGGAGAAACCAACCGGGAAAAGTTTCACGTGACTGTGAAACGGACACACAAACACGTCAAAGTTGTTGGGAGCGCAAGGAGCTCCTCCGCCGCCAATTGCTGGCAACGCCGAGGCAGGCAGCTTGTTTTCCTCGCCCTCTCTGATAAAAGGGCCCTTTTCTTGGAAAGTTTGGGTGTTTTTCAAGAAACCCTTCTGTGTGCAAGAAGATAAACCCCTTGAGCCAAACTGGAGGTGAAGTCTTGCCCAAACTTTGGGTTCCTGGGATGGGGGAGACATTCTTGCCCCGATGTCCTTGTTTTTGGAGGGGAGAGGAGTGTGTTTGTAGCCTGGCCGCTTCCTCAGTCTCTCCTCTTCCTCCCTCGCTCCCCAGTTTGATTCCAGCAAAGACAGACAAGCTCCCTCCCCTTCTTTTCCTCCCAGGAAACTTTCCCTCCGGCCCTGAAAGAGCCTTCCAAGCGCCGGGACTCACTTCGATTGCGACCCGGGCCTCACGCCCCCTTCTCTCTCTCTCTCTCCTTCTCCACTCACCCGAAAATGTGGGTCGATCGCGCGTCAAGCTGGGCAAAGTTTCGCCTCCTTCCTCCGCCCCAGCATGGCTTGGCTCCTTGGGGCCTAACTCTCTTCGCCCCACGTGACTCGCAACGCACATTTGAAAATACAGGGGTGTGTTTGACACTGACACTGCTTTTTGCAAGGAGGAGCAGCAGCAGCAGCAAGACAGTTTCCTCCTCCTCTTCCCTGCTTTGGCCACATGGAAAGACACTCTGAAATGTTGGATTCTGCAGAAACCAATACAAATGGGTTGCAGTCCCAGATCAGTAGCTAGTCACACTCTCTCAGCCTCAGGGGGAGGGAGTTTTTGCCTCCCTACACCTCAATCACTTGCCCTAGGTTCATGGTATGGGCAGCACAGCACACATCCATAGGGATACCAAGGGATTTATTTATTTATCGTATCAGGAGCGAACCACACAGTTTTTGGGGGGTTTTTTTGTCGTGTCAGGAGCGACTTGAGAAACTGCAAGTTGCTTCTGGTGTGAGAGAATTGGCCGTCTGCAAGGACACTGCCCAGGGGACGCCTGGATGATTTGATGTTTTTATCATCCTTGTGGGAGGCTTCTCTCATGTCCCCACATGAGGAGCTGGAGCTGATAGAGGGAGCTCATCCGCCTCTCCCCAGATTCGAACCTGCGACCCTTTGGTCCTGCCAGCACAGGGGTTTAACCCACTGCGCCACCGGGGGCTCCACCACACAGTTGTATTGCATTAAAAAAAACACACACACACAAAGTTTGAAAACTTACCATTCTATTAAATGCCAACAGTTGTAGCCTGCCATTTTTGGACTCTCGCTTGCTGAGGTGTTCCACCAACTGGACCTCACAACCTCTGAGGATGCCTACCATAGATGCAGGTGAAATGTCAGGAGAGAATACTTCTAGAACATGGCCATACAACCCAAAGAAACATATAACAGCACATTCTATAAATTGTCCTTTGGCCACTTGGAGTGCCTCTGGGGTTGCTATAAGAAGGTCCTCCATTGTGCATGTGGTGGGGCTCAGACTACATTGTAGCAAGTGGTCTGTGGTTTGCTCTTCTCCGCACTCGCATGTCGTGAACTCCACTTTGTAGCCCCATTGCTTAAGGTTGGCTCTGCATCTCGTGGTGCCAGAGCATAGTCTGTTCAGCACCTTCCAAGTCACCCAGTTTTCTGCGTGCCCAGAAGGGAGTCTCTCATTTGGTATCAGCCATTGATTGAGGTTCTGGGGTTGAGCCTGCCACTTTTGGACTCTCACTTGCTGAGGTGTTCCAGCGAGTGTCTCTGTAGATCTTAAAAAACTATTTCTTGATTTACGTCATTGGCATGCTGGCTGATATCCGAACAGGGGATGGGCCGGAGATGTCACTGCCTTGGTCCTTTCACTATTGCTTGCTACTTCCTGACAGATGTCAGGTGGTGCAATACTGGCTAAACAGTGTAATTTCTCCAGTGGTGTAGGGCACAGACACCCCGTGACAATGCGGCATGTCTCATTAAGAGCCACATCCACTGTTTTACTGTGGTGAGATGTGTTCCACACTGGGCATGTGTAGTCAGCAGCAGAGTAGAAAAGCGCAGGGGCAGATGTCTTCACTGTATCCTACACCATTGACTGGCCACGTTGTTTGAATGCCCGATCACTGTCTCCCAAAGCAGTTACTATACTCCCAACTCAAGAATAGGAAACAAAATGTTGGTGGTCGGGAAAAGACACTTAAAGATGTACTTGAAGCCAATCTTAAAAACTGTGGCATAGACACCCTCAAGGGCTCTAACTGCAGGTCAGGTGTGACCAGCAGTGCTGCAGAATTCAAAGAGGCACAAATTAAGGGCGAAAAGGAGAAATGTGTCAAGAGGAAGGCGTATCAAGCGAACCCTGATGGGGCCCGTCTTCCATCTGGAAACGGATGTCCTCACTGAGAGAACAGATCAGGAAAAGGACTCCACAGCCGCTTACGGACCCACTGCCAAGACACTACACTTGGAGCATCATAATCCTCACAGATTAAGAACATCTGCAAGGCAGGCAATCCATGCACGTGGCAAATTGTCTGCCTTGCAATGCTACAAGTGGCTACAAGTCCTTTCTATATAACTTCTATAGGTGGTTGTCCATATAAAAGAGAGGGGACCAAAGTAATGCTTCACATTAAACAGATGAGCAATTTCTCAGTGCAAGAATACATTGCAAGTAAAAAAGATTTCTGATTAAGTACTTATGCAATGGTTATGGATACAAGTAATTTACAGGGTTTTTTACATGTTTATAAATGGCCATTCTTTTTCTTGCTTTGAGTACCAGTTGGAAGTCTGCAGCTAGTATGACAAGCCATGCATAAATGTTACTGTACACTTCTGAGAGTTTACAGTAAAAACTTTGGGAATATAAGTGCAACCTTTTCATTGAAATGAAACAAATCGAAAACAAGCATTATCCAAAAACAATACTGTGTTTTGGCAATGCAGAGTACATATCTTCATGGGAGTCCTGTTGTGACCACTGTTCTATACTGATCCACTGCAGTCCTGTGACCTAGGGCCTACCTCTTGGTGGTACCACAGTAATGAATTTGGAAACAGATGGCAATGTCATGTCCACAGATTTCTGGTCTACTCCAGTGATCCCTGGGATGCATGACACAAACTTCTAATTTTTCTTTAGTCTTAACTAGCTGTTGGCAGAGGTGCTCCAGCTATCTCAATGGCTGCATGAATTAAGATATGAAGCATGTCTCTCACTAGCCTTCTGCTGTTCTTTCTTCATTTTGTTAAAAATATCTGTCTTAAGTCAGTGATTGCTATACATGTACTGAATCAGTTGCTCAAAGCTGACTGACTCTTCCACCACAGGAGCCTCCCGGTGGCCCAGTGGGTTAAACCCTTGTGCCAGCAGGACTGTTGCCTGACAGGTCAGTGGCTTGAATCTGGGGAGAGTGAGTTGAGCTACTTCTGTCAGCTCCAGCTCCCCATGCGGAGACATGAGAGAAGCCTCCCACAAGGATAGTAAAACATCAAAAAATCCAGGCATCTCCTGGGCAACGTCCTTGCAGACAGCCAATTCCCTCACACCATAAGTGACTTGAATTTCCCAAGTTGCTCCTGACACGAAAAAAAAGAAAAAAAGCTGGCTCTAAGATCAACCTGGCAAATCCTTGCCGCTTGAGACGTGTGCTCCATAATGGTTCTTGTGATGATTTCTCCCCTGCAGCCACTTCAATCAATCCTGGACCTCATCATCCCAATCCAAATCCCAGGGGACAGACATTCAGCTATGTGTGGTCTCTCTGACAGAGCTGCACACAGAAGAAGAAGCAAAGGAATAATTGCCCTTTGAATTGTATAACAATTTTGCTCTTCTACCGTACTACACAGGGGAAGGTTTCAGTTAGATCAGCAGAAATGAATATATCCCAATGCTGGACCATCCTTCTCCTACAGGTTCTTGTCTTCTTGTCCAATTCTAGTTGGCGATGCTTGTGGAGCAAGGGTTGGTCTCCCAAAGTCCTGTCTGTTTTCACAGGATTCTATAAATTAAGAGAAAAAGGAAGCCTATATTAGGAAAAAGCCTATTTTAGGTAAGAGAAGATCTACAGGTATCTTCTCTATGTGCAAAAGTTACCCTCAACAACTTCTGGAATCTGAGTCTCATCATCACTGCCTCTTGCCATCTCTTGGGTTTCTGCAATGGAACATCAGCATCATAATCACTACCACTTTACAGTGTGGGTTTTTTTGTGTCAAATATCAAAGAAACACAGATATCTATGAACAATAACAAAATACAAGTTGCAAAGCGTTATCAAAACAGAACTGTGTTAGCATAAAGCATGTAAATACACTGCACATGAATCACAAAACAAAACTGAGTGTTACTTAGTTATCTTGTAGTCCTTGAGACAGTAAATTATCTTCAAATACTGTCCAAATTAAGTCCAAATGGTATCCAGTTCAAAATATAATCCAAATGATGATACACAAGGATCCCTGGGTTGAGGTTGCCTTGTTTCGGGGGACTTCCCCTTCTTCAGGGTTTGTCTTCTTTATGAAAGTGGGTGGTTCACACCATACATCCGCTATAAATGAGACGACGCTGGCCCTACAGTAAGGTCTTCAGTAGTGAGCCTCACTAGTGAACCACCCACTTTCATAAAGAAGACAAACCCTGAAGAAGGGGAAGTCCCTCGAAACAAGGCAACCCCAATTCAGGGATCCTTGTGTATCATCATTTGGATTATATTTTGAACTGGATACCATTTGGACTTAATTTGGACAGTATTTGAAGAAAATTTACTGTCTCAAGGACTACAAGATAACTAAGTAACACTCAGTTTTGTTTTGTGATTCATGTGCAGTGTATTTACACGCTTTATGCTAACACAGTTCTGTTTTGATAACGCTTTGCAACTTGTATTTTGTTGTTTTTTTTTGTGTGTGTCAGGAGCGACTTGAGAAACTGCAAGTTGCTTCTGGTGTGAGAGAATTGGCCGTCTGCAAGGATTTTCAAGGGACACCCAGATGTTTTTTGATGTTTTACCATCCTTGTGGGAGGCTTCTCTCATGTCCCCGCATGGGGAGCTGGAGCTGACAGAGGGAGCTCATCCGCTCTCTCTCCAGATTTGAACTTGAGACCTGTCAGATCCTGACGACACAAGGGTTTACCCCACTGTGCCATCAGTGGCTCTATACCACTTTAGAGTAAACAGACATATTTCCGCATTTGTTCTTACTTCCACCCAGTACATAACACACACACACACACACACACATACATACACAAACACATATATATATTGCCCCCCCCCACCTCTGGAGCTCCCTTCCTAAAGAAATAAAGCTGGCCCCTCCCTCCTCTCCTTCAAAAACAAACTGAAGACCTACTTCTGCTCACTAGCATATGGAGAGGAGGAGAATTAGTCAATGAATCACCACTACATGGCCCTGGTTGAGAACTATTTTGTATCTGGGCTCTGCTAGTCTATGTCAGCCCAATTTACCACAAAAGACCACACAACTAACCAACACAACTTTGTGAACTCCAGTTGGCTTCTGTAAATGAATATAGACATTTTATGTCATTATACAATTTTTGTCTGTCTGTTGGTTTAATTTGTCAATGTTAGGTTTAATTCATTGATTTTAGCT